ATACAGATGTGAAAGAATTTCATTGCAAATGGATATACAACGGTAGGAGTACCGCGTTGTCTCAAGCTTTCCCAAATTGCATTAGTGTTTATACCTGGACATTCTGGTGGATGTTTCAACTTGGTAGTTGCTACTGGTCCAATGATATCTGGCACGATGCTTGTGTAGGCTCTCTTATCGGGCTTCAAAATTATGTTAAAGTGTATTTTGTAATCTGATCTGCCTCGCATTTAGGAAAACCCGAGAGTGATTTTAGTCGAAGTGATTTCTTAACCCATTCGTTGACTACAGAGAAATTAGTAGCTGTATCTGGAGTCCTCCTTTCACGTGAACATGATAATTGTCAGAAATTATCCATTCGTCCCATTTTCATATGGGATACGTGGGATAGAAGAGTATAATATCTTATCGTATACCATTGTATACGATAAAAGTACAAAACATCTTTCCCATCTTTCTCAACTTTAACAAAATTACAATCATCTTCCTAATCACTGAGCTTTTATACATACAAGTTATTGTGTCGATGCTAGGTTCCTTAAATTATCATCTAAACCAAATAGACCAGCTGTAAATGATGCACGCGTTGTTTTTTTGTAGAGTTAGGTACTTTGTATAGTTAGGTACTTGGATAAATTTGTTTCATCATCTAAGTCTACTTTTCAAGCATAGCTTTAAAATATACAATTTAGAATATACAACTTATTGTTCTTGGTAAAACCAAATATTGGATTCATATTTTCATCATTATAAATAGGTACACCAACATGATAAATTGGACTAATATTAGTGTACATCATCAAAGTAATTTCAACTTTAATTTCAAATAGATTTCAATCAAATTGATCATATAACATTATAAATGGTTCGATAAGAGACATATAATATAGCAGTTAGGAGCATATTACTTCGTAAGTAATTTATCAATATTGTATGGTTAATTAAGATATGGTTAATTAAGATACTTAATTTTAATAAAAGTTTATTTAAATGAAATCCTGGCAATAACTTAATTGACAAAAAATGAAATCCATTATTTTCTCTATAAGCAACAAAATTATTAACGCAACAATATTTTATAGCTAATTAACATATTTTGTACCTAATTCGATAAAATCTATAATTTAACCTAAAAACCCTAACCCTAATTCACAATCAGTAAAAACTCAAATTCATCAATTTTCTCTCAAGATTAACAACTTAATTGATATATTTCATAACTAATTAACATATTTTATACTTAATTCTATATAATCCCTAATTTAACCTAAAAATCATAACTCTAACCCCAATTTATAATCTACAACAACCCAAAATAATCGATTTTCTTCACAAATAATTAATTAACTACTCAAATTAATGTATTTTATATCTAATTAACATAATTCACAAAACCCTATTTTTTCCTAAAAAACCTTCATTCTATACCCTAAAATAACCAAAATAAACAATTAACATAAATTAGTACAAATTCTATTAAATTGATGTATGAGAAGTGTGTAACATATCTCTAAGTGTTGAATTCGATTCTTGGTGGTGACGAGTGATGGCAATGGCGGTGGAGGTCAGAAATTCAAAAAAGACCCGCGGGTGGAGAAAGAAAAAAAACAGGTTGTCTCAGCGTGGTAGTATGGGTATTTCATAATGAGGAGAGAGAGGAAGAAGGGTGTAAGCAACGCCATGAGTGGTTGTAGAGGGGGAGTGGGGAAATAAGAAAAGAAAAGGAAAGAAAATGAGGTAAGAGGTTTTAATTCGTCTGGAGTAATATGCAAATTGCGAGTCGTTATGGGGCATTCAACTATCCAAATTATGTTATTTTTCTAAATATTTCATTGAATGTGTTATTTTCTCAATTCCCTTTTATTATTATGCTAAAATAAAAAACCCTCTTACGGAAAGATTTTTTATGAAACTAGCATAGTTTGGTAAACAATTTTAGGATATATCTATTAATAAAAAGGGAAATAACATACTTTTACTTGACCGCTAACAATAATCGTGATTATATTAATAAGCTGCCAATAGAAATAATGGTTGTTTTAAACAACCAATATTGTGACTGTGTTTTTATTAGAAAGTAACTATTATTTTTAATGGGTTACCTTGGAGTTAAATAATATTGAATAATTGATAAATAGGATTAACTTAATTATTTTACATGGACTGCATTAATATAATGCGATAATCCTTTGTTAATCTTCTCTAATAATAGCAATAATAGTGATAGCAACACCAACACCAACCCCATCTCTTCTCTCCTTGTCTTAACAAATAAAATAGCCATCAAAATCCATTTTGATTTTAAGGTTGTTTCTCGGAAAACCATGGACATCTCCTCTCACTTGACTCCATTAAGGTATATCATTAATGGGTCTCTTTTAAATTTTGTTGTAATATTCTTTATGATTATGATTTGTGGGTTTTTTTTAGGGTGACACAATTCATTGATTAAAGATGAAAAAACATAAGTTACTTGAGATTTGGCAAGGTTTTTGGAGTTTATTAATGAGTTTGTAGTGAAAAGGCATGGAAAATAAAGAAACAAAGTAAGTTGTTTAAGAGAGAATTTAGAAAAATATAGATGCACTTCAAAATAAGGAGGGTGCAAAATTTTAAGAAGAAAAATGCAGAGTATATTGGGATAATTATGGAAGATAAGGTACCGAATAGTAGCCATTTTTGTTATTTTTCAAGATAAGACACCAAATATATCATCTACAATGAATCTCTAATCAAATTATCATGTGATTCTGAATCTTTATTTTTATTACAGTCATGATTTTAAAACATGGTTTTAATAAAAGTACAAATTAGATAGTGGTTCTTTTCAAACTATGTTATTTTTTAAAAATAATTTCAAATTCCTAAAATCTTATTGTAATTATGTTATTTAAAAAAAAATTCTTTATGTAAGCATATTTTTAATCAGGAATAATTATTTTTTGTTTGAAAAACAATCACACTATTTTTTTTAAAAAGATTAAAATGAAAAATTTGATTTTTGTTTGAAAAACAATCACATTATTTTTTTTAAAAAGATTAAAATGAAAACCAAATTAAAACTATTTTTAATTAACCAATTTAAATTTAATTTAATTAATTTACATTAAAAACTGGAAAAACTATATTATTTTTTTGAGTTATTTGGTTACTTTTTATGAGCTTGTATTCGATATAAAAAACATATTTTAATTGTCCTAGCTCTGAAACGAACGCTTCTATCATTTTTCATTTATTTATTATAGGATCAATACTTGAAAGAGGAGCCAATTGTGAAATCCCTCAAGTGCAGTATTGATATTCTAACTGTCCAATTTTCTTGTAGTAAATTCCAGAAGTATATAAAATATTTCTTGCAACCTAGTTTAAATTGTCAGTGCCAATCCTGTAAGAACTTCCTAATATTTCTTCTTCTGATTTGTTTGAGCGAGGGGGGTGATTTAATAACAAACACCGGTTAGTAAATAAAATTCAAATTTACAAATCATTGCATTCAAAAGATCTAAATAAAATAACAGATAACATCATCATAAAATAAAATACACGCACATAAAAAATAATGCTTGATAATTCCTTAATACTATTTACATCAAAGTTTCCCCTGCAATAAAACACACTATGCAATAAAAATAAATCTTTGATTAGTATTACACATAAAAAATCAAAGATTTTACAAACTTTGCTCAGAACATTAATAACCAGAAAGTGAAGAACTATCATTTATCTTTTCTAATTTTAATAAACAGTATATTAAAATTAAGAACTTGTAACTCAACTTATATTTATATTTTCTTTTCATAGTAAATCTTGCAAGGCTAAAATAAAAAAAATGAAGGCAACACAAGCACAAGATTAAAAAAAATACCTCATGTATCTCGCTTTTGGAATCAAAGCATCAAGCTCAAAAACTTTGCCCCTCTCTCTGACTTCAAGGAGAGCTTAAGCATTCATCAACGGACTGGTAGAGCACAGAGCAAGCATCGATGGATTGTCATGCACCGCATCACCCGTTATCACCAATTCATAAATGCATATGCAAGATTATTCAAGTGATCTGTTTGGGAGTAAATTTTCATTAATTATAATATATCTATATTTCACTATTTAAAATTATTTGTTACCATAAACTTGACTAAACTTAACTATACCACTGATATTAAAAAATAGAGGCAACTATTTTTTATTTTATAAATTGAACAAAAAAATATATTTAAAGTCATAAAATATATTTAAAAAAATTATAAAATTATAATTTTTATATGAAATATTAACCAATTAATATAACTGGATCTATCCAGCTGTTCAGTTCATCTGGAAGATTGGATTTTTACGCTATCACTTCAGGAATATAATATTTATTAAATATTTTTATTCTAAAATATAATAATATAGTTATCGTGTTTAAAAATAATAATATTTTATAAATATAACGTTTCTGAAATGTTATTGGATTAAACATGCTATTTTACCGAATTTTTTTAAACAGTATTATTCCACTGATTTTTTATATTAATTAACTGTGCTAATTTACAAAAAAAAAACATCCGAGTCGTCCCTCTCGGCAGCAGTTCTCTACTCTGCCCTAAAGACACAAACCAGTCTGATTGGGACTAGTCATCCAGTTCTCCACAATCACAATCACGTCCATAAAAAATTGGGCCACATCGTCACCCGTAACTATCCCCCTCTGAACCGAGCTGCCAGTCAGTTAACTGCAATAAAGACTGCAAATTCAATTCATTTTACCCCCAATCTTCAAATTTCAAACTCTCTGTCTCCCTTCCTTCTCCCCCTCCGAGTAACAAAATTTCATAAAGTGAGAGCAAAAAAAATGAAAAAGAATATTCCCTCAGTCTCATCTGGCAGTGAATCACGTGTATAGTCACTCTCGCATTATGTAATCCCCTCTCACAAGAGGCACGCAAATTCAAAATGGTAGTTGAAACATTAAAATCCATGGGACCAAAAACACGAAATTCAAATTTAATTACTAAGATTAGCGGCGTTTTCTTTTACAGATAGATGTTTAAAATTACTGAAGTGTTGTTCTTATACGTCGGAGTCAAGCTGCCTTGATGCGTGATCGTTAAAACTTTAAACCCGGAATCATGTCTTCGAAAGAAATTAAAGCCAAAATTCAATTACTAACAGGCTGCACTACTGATCCCCTTGTTCCAGGGTTTTTTAGCAATAAAAAAAGGGAATTTGATAAAATAACCACCAGTTACTGTACTACTGACTCCTTAACCGCTAAGATCATTACACATTAGCAAACTTCATAACCTTGATAGCCGTGCTGTTGCTGCTGCCTCAACGTCATCTCTTTCTGTCTCCGGAGCTCCAAAACTTTACGGTGCGAGTTCGAATGCTGAGTCAGCACAAAAGTCGGGCTCGCTGCGGGTCGGTATTCTGGTACGAGCCGACCCGACTTGTACCTTACTCCACAAGCATTACATAGCGTTTTCGGGCCCAGCGGACCCGTCCTCCACTGCGGCGTCTTCTCCGACGCGCAGTGACTGCACCTCCGCGCTCCTCCTTCCGTCTCCGCAGAAGAATGTGGCGCTCCGTTATTTTCCTTCTCCAGTCTCGATTCCCTGGCCACCGCAGTCTCGATATCTGCCGAGGAGGATGTCGCGGTGGTGGTGGTTCGTGAACGTTCGCTACAAGATTTGTTGCGAGACGACGTGTCGGTTGGGATATTAATGGTGCTCGGAAAGTCCGTGAACGAGTCCTCCATGAACTGCGATAGCCACTCCAGATCTGCCACGTCATCACTCTGCAAAAAGAAACAAAGATAAGCATAAAAACATTTTAGTGAAGTTATTTTTTTTACATATAATTTAATTAAGAAATGATTCTGAATTAAAAAAGAAAAAAAAGAAATAGAGAGCGAGAGATGGAGAGGGAGTGTTAGAGAGTGGCCTACTGGGACTGAGAGATGGTCAGTGAAGTCAGTGGAGAGAGAAGAAGTGTTATTAATATAGGTGGTGGGAGAAGGGAAGTGGCGGTGGTGGTGGCGGATGGAGGAGGTTTCAGGTGGAGGAAGGTGGTGGTGCTCGGTGGAGGAGGCGAGTAGGTCATCATTAGAGAAGTCTAGAAGGTCATCAATGAGAAAATAATCAGGTGCGCTGGTGGAGACTCCTCCATAGACATCCATTTTTTTTGTGTGTTTTTATTATTTGATGTGGGCTTGAATTGTTTCCCTCTCCAGCTCTTACTTTTGGAGAGGAAGGAGGGATAGGATACAGAAACCCAAGAGAGAGCCTAGCTACAGAAAATGCTCCCAATCTCTCTCTCTCTCTCTGAAGGGAGCAAAATGGAGGAGAGAGTAGGAATTTTAAAGGGTCAAGAAAGAGTGGAGGTTTTCATGCAGTGATGGACACATGGATACACATGCTTGACTAGTTGTGAAGATATGGGGGTTAATGCATTTATGCTGTACCCACAGGCAGGCTGTAGTTTAGCTTATCAGCAGGCTTATTAATTATGGGGTGTTGCCAGTTATGGGTGGCATTAGTTTTTGTGATTAGATAGTTTAATTAGTTATTAATTATAAGCACTGAAAACAATGGTCCCTAATTGGTTATGAAGCAGTGTTGCCATTAAGGAAGAGAGGGTTAGGCTCAGCTTTAAGCCATAGTTTTTTTTATCAAAAAATGGAGGCATGGACATTTTTAATTTCAATGTGGACTCAGTATTAGAATCCCCCCTCCCCTGAATAATAAAAAAAAATCATGGGAATTTCACGTCTTTTCCCCTGAATAATAAAAAAAAAATCATGGGAATTTCACGTCTTTATATTTGATGTTTAAATCTGTGATGGATAAAATACTTGTAAACTTGGACGGCAAGAGGTCCTCCAGCTGAAAGATATTGACTAATTGGGACAAGGGAACTGGAGATAAATGCCTTCCTCCTTCCTTATTGCTTATACATCTCATCATTGAAGTTACGTTCTTATTAATCACACATCACCGCTGTTCACGTACTTTTCTGGTGTCGGCAATGCTGACTTAAAGTTTACTTGAAAGAGTGCTGCGCAATTTGTAGTTTTACTTCATACCTACTCCTAATATTAATCATTAATCACTAATCACGTTTAGAACAATCGTAATAACTCGAACACCCTATGGGTCATGCCTTAAGATTCTACCTCTACGCTCCATCTAGCTACCGATTTCTATTTCTTGATCTTTTAAGTTATCAAATTTCCTTCTATAAACATGAAATATCTAGGAGTAGATCTCCTATTTCCTTGGTAGCTACCCAATCAATGTATGTATATCCTTTGATGTTAAAATCACCTTTTAAAAATAATTATCCCCCTTCTAGAGAGCAAACTCCAAATATGTTAAGATTTGAAAAATTGCATTCATATGTTTTTCACTCCATAGTGTACATAAACTAGCTTATACACTTTTATGATAGGCTATGTATCTATAAGTGCTACCATTCACATTGAATTTTATTATGAACACTCATTTATATCATGTTATTGTTCTTTCTTTTTAGGTTCATGGAATAAGTTCCCTTTTGGAATTCCTCTACAAGGCCTCCATTTCTTCGTTCATTGCCTTTGTTCTCTCCGAGTTAGCTAGCACGTCATGCACACCACTAAAAATAAATATAGAGGATAATTGATTAATAGTAAACACACACGATTCTGATAGACAATATATATTGATGTAATACCTAGTCTTGACTATATAAGTAGGGGCATTTTATTTTTTAGTAATTTTTGTTTAACTTGTATGGATATCTATATTCTAACACTTTGATGACATCGTTCGTATTGAGTTTATAAGATATAGGTATTTGAATTACGAATATCTCTTTCTAATTCTATAAGTAATGATGCTAAGAGGGATAATATTGTATTATTTTTTACCTTTTTCATTATTAATAGATCATTGTTGTCATATGAAACTAAAAGATCGACATCATTAGGTTGTTTGTCAAGCTATCGACAATATCTAAATAGTTTTCTAAGACTTCCAAATTAATAATCCTTCGTAGCTTGTTTGTCAAGCTAAGATTTCAATTTAATAAGACTTTCGACATAATATTCCAGCTTAATAAGACCTTTAAGTGAATATTTTTTATGGTGTTTATCGATGGATATAATGAGAGAATATTTTATTGGTAAAATTCACTACAATTTATAAACAAAAATATTATGTCGATATTTTTGTTTGTATTTGCCAATTTTCTGGTAATGATATTTTATTTTATAACACTCTTCCTCAAACTGGCTTAAAGATATTTTCTATTAACCACCTTATCGATCAAGTAATCAAATTATTTCTTGTGAAGTCCCTTTACAAGTACATCGATAACTTTCTTAGTGATTAAAATATATGGCATGCAAATCATTTCACCATCAATTTTTTCTTTGGTAAAGTATTTATTAACTTTCACGTGCTTTGTTCTATCATGAAGAATTAGATTATGAGCAATTGAGATAGTAATTTTATTGTCACTGTATACCTTCATGAGCGAGGAGTTAAGAATCTTTAAGTTTTCTAAAGCCTTTTAATCCATACAACTTTATAAATCTCATATGCAATTGTTCTAAACTCCTCTTATGCATTTCTTCTTGCCATAACACCTTTTTTTTCTTCATTAAGTAATTAAATTCCCTCTAACATAGGTACAATAACTAAAAGTTAATCTTCTATTAGTTATACTTCTGACCCAATATGTATCAAGATAAACTTTAACATGTAAATGTTCATGCTTTTTAAACAATAAATATATTTCAGGAGTCTATTTCAAATACCTCAAAACTTTATTAATGACATCACAATATCTTGTGCCACGTGAATATATTAATTGGTTGACCATATTTGCTACAAAAGCTATATTTGAGCGTATATGGGCCAAATAAATTATAACTTGACCATACTTTCATTCTAATAAAATATTTCAAAGCACTAAAATCCTTGATCTCAAAATTTTTAGTAAGTTTCTTCTTAAGTCTTTCTATCTCAATATTATCATCACCATTCATGGTTATATTATCTACATGAACAATCAATATAGCAATTTTTCCTTTTTTTTAATGTTTACAAAATACATTATGATCTTGACTTTGACGGTAATCATAACATCTCACAGTATTTCTAACATATTTAAACCATGCTTTAAAAGACTATTTGAGGTTATATAAAGGCTTTTTTAGTCTACATGATTTATCTTTATCAATTCCCTTTTCGAGTCTAGGTGGTGTACTTATAAATAATTCCTTTTCTAAGTCTTTATTTAGAAAAAAATATTTTTAATATCCAAATGATGTAGAGGCTAGTTGAAATTCACTATTAAAGATAATAAAACTCAAATTCATTTTATTTTAGATATTGAAGAAATATATTTTGAGAGTCAATATAATATATTTATGTGAAGCCTTTTTTCATAAACCTTAACTTGTACTTTTTTATGCTTCCATCAGCTATACATTTAATCATAAACACTTATTTGTACCCTATTTTCCTATTTTTTTCTTGGTAAGTCAACTACTTTCTAATTGCTTTTTTTTCCCAGACTATTCATCTGTTCCATAACTACTAACTTCTCATTCATATAATTTAAAGCTTTATGAATATTTCTTGGAATAAATAATTAAGATATCTTAGAGGTAAAAGCTCAATAATTATTAAAAGGTTTGTGGTAAGATAAATTTTTAGCAATAGAATGGTTGGTACAAGATGAGAGTACTCTTTTTCTAATAATTATAGAAATGTTAAGTTCTATAGGATCATTATGAAAAATAACAATAGAAGTATGGATAGGAATACTTACTATATTCTCGGTACCATCTATAAGAGAATTTGGTTGATCTTGTGTTGGGATGATAGGGAAGTCTTTGCCTTTTATATGAGTTCTTCTTCTAGTATAAACTTGAAGCTCGATATTTTGATTAATTTGATCCTTTTGTAGTACTTCTCTCTTGTTTACAATACACTTACACCTAACAATAATTGACTTATATTTTTATTTGTTCTAATATTATTAACATTTTTTTCCTGAGATTGTGATGCTGAAAAAATATTATTGAACATCTTTTATTTTGATTTTGAAGATTAGAGTCAATGCAATAGCTTTTTAGGTTTCAAAAGTTTTTATATTTTTTGTTTATTTGGTTTATTTATGTCTTTAGTCAAGAAATATGTTTCTTTCTTTCTTGTTTGTACCTTTTAATACAAATATAGTGTAATGGATTGTGGATTTATGGTTGTGTTGTGCACTTTACTATTTAAAAAGCTTTGTCAATTTCAATAAATCATGAAATCCACCCCTTATTTTTTTTGTTAGGGTTATTAATTCTCCTTACCATGTCTATTTTTACATAGGTTATACTCTGTCCATTCACTTTTACTTCTTTTAGTTTTTTAAAGTAGGAAATAAAGATAAATATTGGCATTATATACATTGTGTTTGGAATTTAATTGGTTCTTTTTTGAATACATGAAATCTTAATGTTATTTAGTAGTTCTTCTTTTCACTTTACCCTAAAGGCCTAAACCACTTATGTATGTGTTTGTATAATGGTTGAGTTAATGAAACATACATGTCCTAAAAATCATGATCTTTCCTTTTTTCCTCTATTTAAAAATGATTTTTAGTAGACTAAGGTTGATTTTACACACACACACACATATAAATTTTCGTGGTTTGAGGATTATAACATTTATATTCTTTTTTGTTTGGGATATATCTAATAAAAATATAGTTTTTAGTCAGATTTTTCTTGATATGTGAACAAAGACTATGCAACTAAAATTTTTTATTGGCAAATCATATTATATCTATGTATCATAAAAATATTTTTTCAAACAATCTAATAATATGAGAAGTTTCAAAACTTGATTAAGCATCACATTGATCAAACAGAATGTTGTTAAAACAACTTCACCCCATAATAATTCTAGAATATTCATAGAAAACATTTGAAATGAGCCACTTAAAGTAAAAGTTTGTTCTCTCTCTGAACAATCCTAATTTGCTAAGTAGTGTCATGATATGTAAATCGATGTTGAATCCTTTTTGTTTTCAAAGAGTTTTCTAAACACTCGTTAAAATATTTTGTTTTGTTATCATAATAAATTTTGTTAATCCTTGTCTAATATTGGTTTTTTTATCATTTGGCATATTGTTTTGAAGTTACTACCTTAAATTTCTCACTCATCAAATAAACATAACATAATCTTATAGGATCCTCTATGAATGTAACTAACCATTTTTTTTTAAAATACAATAATAATTTTAAAGTACCCTACATATCACTATGAGTTAAATAAAATACTTTTAAAACATGAAAAGGTTTTGAGAAATATATAACATGATGGCTTTTTGATAAGTGACAAGTTTCATATTAGAAAGATAAACAATCCAAATGTTTAAACAACTTATAAAATAAATGTTTAAGATAGAGAAAACTAGGATGTCCTTGTTTAAGGTGCCAAAGCATCATTTGTTCATGAAAAAAATATTGAACTTATACTACTAAAGCCATGAAATTTTTTATTACCAAATAAGTTATCATCAAGGTAGTGAAGATTATCTATTATCCTATCATTGATAATCACCTTCCTCGAGCTCTATTACTAAAATATATAGTTAGAATTTTTAGTTGGTTTACTCATAAATATAAAAGTGTAGATAAGTTTAGGAAT